CCACGAGGTGAGATCTTGCATGGAGCCCCAGGCCGAGGGAGATTGACAGTTAATTTGTGTTTCTTCCATTTGCGAATAATCGCACCAACTGTTGTCACCTTCTCACCAAGCTGCTTGGCAATGGTCTTGTAGCCCATTCTAGCCTTGTGTAGGTCTACAATCTTGTCCCTGACATCCTTGGAGAGCTCTTTGGTCTTGGCCATGGTGGAGAGTTTGGAATCTGATTGATTGCTTCTGTGGACAGGTGCCTTTTATACAGGTAACAAGCTGAGATTAGGAACACTCCCTTTAAGAGTGTGCTCCTAATCTCAGCTCGTTACCTGTATAAAAGACACCTGGGAGCCAGAAAACTTTCTGATTGAGAGGGGGTCAAATACTTATTTCCCTCATTAAAATGCAAATCAATTTATAACATTTTTGACATGCGTTTTTCTGGATGTTTTTGTTGTTATTCTGTCTCTCACTGTTCAAATAAACCTACCATTAAAATTATAGACTGATCATTTCTTTGTCAGTGGGTAAACGTACAAAATCAGCAGGGGATCAAATACTTTTTTCCCTCACTGCACGTACCTACGCACAAATACACTCAGAGACAAATGCACACAGCCACACATTCTCACAAACACAAAGACACCCAAAACTCACAAAACACACGTGTGCACAATAACAGACACGCACTGCCATAAACAGCCAAAAAAACTATGACCCAAATAGGCTTTTAACATACTATTAAAAGGCTAACAACAACACATACAAACTCTCACATGCAAAATGAAGATATTCTCACGCAGAGGAACACTGTTACAAATACATAAATGCACTCTCACACACACTCGCACAAATAAATGCACGCAAAATCACAAACACATTACTTAAAACAACATTCCTAACATAAACATACACATTACACCAGCCACAGTCCGGTTGAAGTGCACGGAGCAATGATGTCACGGCTGCCATGTTCCATGCGGATTGTTCTCCTGGCAGCCGATTGGCTGGTGTACCGGGAGCGATGACATAGTCCTCTAGCAACCACTGACGTGCGTGCTCATCTTTACAATTTCGCTGGGCTGCGCACAGATACTCCATGTTTCACACTATGCAGTTTTGGAGCTTATGCAAATTGCTGCCTTGTAGATTTTATGCAGTTTTCCTGTACAGGGACGCCTCTACTTACGAACACTCGACTTATTAACTTTTAGAGATACGTAGAAACCTGTCCGTATGTCCAGTTGTTCGGACCGAGAGTCATACGTTCAACCGCCACACAATAGATGGCGGTGGTGGCATCTTCATCTGCAGAACGTGAAGAACCAGTGGCATCTACATCTACAGGAGATATTATAACTTTTAAAATCATTCCCCGTATTTAGTGTACATGCCGTACAGCGTGTTTGGAATCGACAGGAGTGAAGTTGGACTTACGAACAAATCGACTCACGAACAGAACTCTGGAACGTGACTCGTTCGTAAGTAGAGGAGTCGCTGTCCTCGGGCCCAAGCACGATATGTTTTTTTGCCATCTCTCGCCACTGATGTTATCCGTGCTCGGAAATAAAACAACTCGTATTGTTGGTTTTAAAGCGCAGTTGTACGAAGCAACCAATAACTTAAGACGGTTCCACGGTACACAAATGAAGCAATACAACATGTGCACTAAATAGGTGAAATTTCAACATTCACAGCAACGTTTATGGATGAGGAGTCTTAGCTTCAAGGCCGAGCCAATTGGCATCACTACATTATTAACTGCTGAACCGAACACTGCAAGTGTATACCATAAATACAGGTCTGTGCTGCAATAACCTCGAGACACAATGTACGTACAAACAGCAGGCTAGACGTCCGATTGATTTATACATGGACAAATAGCCACAATCCAGCTAGAAAGCTACGGCACGTGTACTTACAAGACTCACAAGAGAGACAAAGATCCACCCTCACACACACACACACTGTTGGGGCCCAAGTGCTGTTGGCGAGCACGTGTAAACGTGAAAGCCGACGAAACACGCACGTGGGGGGCAGTGTTGTCGACGGAGCCACGCCCAGACGTCTTTGTCTCCCCAGTGCTGAGATGTAGTAACACACCGCACCCAGGTTTCAAACGGCCTTTGACCTCACGTGAGGGTCCAGGGACCGACGGTGACCTGGCCGAGCGGCCGACGTTCATGGCTCTTGCAGTTCGGCATCGAAAATTCACGCGGTCGGTCGGGTTGCTTGGAGGGCAGCATGAGAACCATCACTCACATTCACAACCACCCACGCACACCGCAGTAGACCACAATACTGTATATAAGTACTGAGCCAATACGCATCCACCACATAGCATTAAAAGAAAGTGCCGCCCGACAATGGCTCGCTGAGCCCACTGCGAGCATAAGGGGCCTCGACTTCGAGCAGCGGTTCTTAATCGACTGCAGCCTGCAACCCCTTTGGTTCTCAACCGTACAAAAAAAATGTATAATGTTAATAAATACATAGGTTTGACGAAACAAAGCAGTTCTACTTAATTTGTGTTTTCTATTATTTACCTTCTAAAAACAAAACTGGCCATGTCTCGCACTCCCAGAAAGGGCATCTTGCACCTCGGGTGAAGAACCACTGGCTGAGAGGGAACTCTAAAGAGCACATCCCGAGGGTATATTGGTCTACTCTTCCATTGGAACAAGTGAGAGTACCCACGCTTTATCCCACCAAACGCGACACCGCCTTTCGATTGAAGGCGTGTACCGACCTCCAGCGCTGGGAGGATTGCGCGTGGGCGACAGGGAAAAGGGGAAATCGAAAATCCCAAAACCCACCCCCCACACTGCCGCGCCCGGAGATGGAAATCCAACCGGCAACATTTGGCATTGCAATTCCAGCGATTTAAGCATCGGAAACGCCACTGTAGTGTGGCATCTGTGGTGTCAATGGTTGAAAATACCCCCTGCGGTAGAAGGGATGTGTGCGCATTTTTTTTAATGTACTTATCGAAACCAACTCCGCGTAACAAAGAACGCTCGCCGGCGGATTTAGCGTAACGAGCTTCGGGGCCCGTATCTGGCGACGTTTAGACAGCGGCTCGCCTAATAACCGCTGTGTAAGGGCGGACAACTGTGGCCATAGCAAAACACGTGGGGGGAGGGGGGTGTCAATGTCCGAGACTCATCCGTGTGGAGGGCGCGCTGAACATCGTAACAATATGCGGGCTTTGCCATCTTACCCGTTGGTATTAAACCCCAGCCCACCTCACCCTGCAAGACTGGGTGAGCTCAGCTTGCGTCCAATGTCACGCACAGCGCCACCCGTACGGGGAGAAGGGCCCATTGCCCGAAACGTCGGCCTATTGTGTTTTCCTTTGAAGGCAGTGTTCATTGACACGCGCGTGGAGGTTTTTTGTTGTTGCTGTTTGCTGTACGAGTAGTGTAACTTCTTCTTCTCAGGTGGTGTACGCAGTAGAAATAATGCACTGCGCGGTCTCGCACTGGTTCGCGAACACTTTGCGCTGCCAGCCAATTTAAATCCCCGGGTTCGATTCCCTGCCACGGCTATAAAACGTCGTGAGCGGCGCGTGGAGATCGCGTGACACGTGTCCCTTTACCCAGTAACTCGCACCTAACCCGCGTGGTGAAGTATGGCCAAACAACCGCTCCGACCCGACACAGCGTGGGTAGCAGTAGTAGACCTTCGTCTAGCAGTGGATTCACAAACAGCTGTAATCGACTGCATTACATAAACGCGCCTGTAAACTCTGCTGCACGTGCAGTATATGCAGTCTAGCTTGGCACATGCACTGCACATTCGTCTTAGCACATATGCATACGTAGTTTTAAAAGAGAACTCATCAGCCGGGATCCATCCTACTGCGATAGACTAAGGCCTCTGGGTCTCGCGCGATGCAATACAAAGATTTAACAACTCCCGGGCGCAAGCCGAACCCCCCGCCGCTCCATCTCCGCAGTGGATGTGCCTCTCAATCTCCTGCATCGCTTAGTAAACACGCATCGCTTAATAAAGCGCGACCCACCGTCGCTTCAGAGCCGAACAATCATCTCTCTTAGATCCAGCCACCACCATAATCGATTATAGGGGGGCATCAGCTCTTAGAACCAGCCACCACCATAATCGATGATAGGGGGCATCATCTCTTATATTCAGCCACCACCATAATCGATTACATGGGGAAATCATCCCTCAGAACCATCCATCACCATAATCGATTATAGCGTGCCGTCATCTCTTAGATCCAGCCGCCACCATCGCTGATTCCAGCGAACCATCATCATAATCTTGTTGCCACGTGTCCTGCCTCAACCCACGTGTCTCAACAGGGGTAAACACGATGCGGTCAACTCGTTTGCTCTCCCGACTCATGACTGCTGCTCCTCGTTTGGCCTCTGCAGGCAACCTTATATTCGTGTTTGCGCTCCTTTCAGCGCACTCACGTGGCGATGGAGCGAGTCGGAGAGACACGGTGGTGCTGATTATATCAGGGCGTGGTGGTGATAATACAAGAATGTAAAATACAAATTAATACGTTTTTGCATAATGTAATTGTTACTTAAGCGCCATGATTCCAGTTTTTGGTGTTATCAAGGTGATGATAGCAATAATGGTTTGATAGTTACCGCAATGATACACGAGTGTCACGCACAAATTTAAAAACGAAACCGCTCACAACCGAGATAGCGTGCACTTCAAACTTAAAACACGAAGACGACGATGAGCGCTGTAGTGTCACGGAGCTTTGTTTAGCAATGACGATCAATAACCATTCACAATACATCGATACCAAAGCACGCAGAACGAACACACGCGCCCATTAAAACTTCACCGCCAACCACGCAACTCAACCCACGCGCAGCGCAATGGTGGTGATGATGATGGTGCTGTTCAATGATATACGTGGGATCCTACTCGAGGGATTGTTGTTGTTGTCGTCGTCGTTGTTAAAGTATACAAGTGTCGGTGCGTGCGCCCCTGCGGTACGCGCCCCGGGGCGATCAACTCACCTAGAAAACGAGACACTCCTCCGCCGCCCAGATGAATGAGAATCCTGGCCGCCGACAGCAACATGAGTAAGCCCAGACAAGCCATGTAGTTTCTGGGGCCAAACTTGCCCACAACCCACATGCTGCGCCAAGGGCTGCACAACCTCTCGCATTGGATCGCGAGCGGCTTCTCGTGACGGTCATTCGTAAAATCCCTGTCGGTGGTGGCTGTGGCCGGACGGTTGTTCTCCTGCGGCTGTGTTGTTGATGCTGCTCGTGTGTTGTTGTTGATGGGTTAGGGGGTTGGGGGTAGTCGCGTGCCAGCAGTACTCGCTTTGCCCAACGCCGCCGCCTTCACGGACAAGAAGCTCTCGGTCGATGTACGTTGCCGGTAGAGTCCCGGGCGAGCGGCTGCTGCTGCTGATGATGTTGGTTCTGTTTCTGCAGCGAGCAAGCCACGCCACTCGCTCCACATCTTCCCCCTCTCCACGCCGTCTCCGCCCACTGCCACCACCACCTCGTGTGTGCCTCGCAAGGAATCCTGCCAAGCCTCTCCCACACTCCTCCCCACACCTCCCACACTCCTCCCCACACCCCCAAACTCCCCACCCCCTAGAACTCGAGTTCAGCCACACACACTCCCCCCCCCGTAACACCCACCCCACCATCACCACCACCACGTGCGTCTCTCTCTCTCTCTCTGCCTGTGGCCGGCTGACATTTCCCACCCCGCATCCGCTACTTAATAGCTCGCCGACCAAACTCCAAGAACCACTCGCTCATTGCCTCACTCTCACCGGCTCAATCACTCACTCGCTCACCGGCTCAATCACTCACTGATACGGTCACTCATTCGAACCGCTCACTTATTTAGCCAACTCATTCACTCACCACCGACTCACGCATTCACTCACGAGCCCACTCGCTAACGTATTCGCTCACCCATTATTTTTTTCACGGACGGACTGACTTGGTAATAACCTAAGCGCCGACTCACAAACCCACTCATTCGCTCGCTAACCCACTCGCTAACTTACCCATTCACTTACCGACTGACTCACTGAATCACTTGGTGGTGATTTATTAACTTCGATAACTTAATCGCGTATTCACTAATCGAGTCGCTCCTCTCTGATTCACTCACTCACTCAACCATTAACCTATTCGCGAAGCCACGTATTCACGAACAAATGCATTTACTCCTCGACTCAGCACCAACACATTCCATCACTGACCCCATTCACCCACCCGAGTGAAAAGGCACGCTGCAACACACTTTCTCCATAATTAAATCACTCGATAATTTTTACTCATTCACTCTTTAATGTATTAATTCACTCTCTCACGAGTTCACTCACGGGCGTATTTCGCCACTCGCCCACAACGAATGGACTCAACCCGCTTGCTCACTCCCGTCACCCACACACTCCGTGAGCGATGCTTCACTCTCTGGCCTGGGATTCATTTCTTATTTGTGTGTGTGTGAGTGTGTGTGAGAGTGTGTGAGGGTGTGTGTGAGGGTGTGTGAGAGTGTGTGAGTGTGTGTATGTGAGTGTGTGTGTGAGGGTGTGTGTGAGTGTGTGTGTGAGGGTGTGTGTGTGAGGGTGTGTGAGGGTGTGTGTGTGTGAGGGTGTGTGTGTGAGTGTGTGTATGTGAGGGTGTGTGTGTGGGGAGTGTGTGTGTGAGGGTGTGTGTGTGAGTGTGTGTGTGAGGGTGTGTGTGTGAGGGTGTGTGTGTGTGTGTGAGTGTGTGTGTGAGGGTGTGTGAGTGTATGTGAGGGTGTGTGTGAGGGTGTGTGTGAGTGTGTGTGAGGGTGTATGTGTGAGGGTGTGTATGTGTGAGGGTGTGTGAGGGTGTGTGAGGGTGTGTGTGAGTGTGTGTGTGAGGGTGTGTGTGCGTGAGTGTATGTGAGGGTGAGTGAGTGTGTGTGGGGAGTGACAGTCTAGCGGCTGGCACGCTGCGCTATGAACCTGGCGACCCGGGTTCGATTCCCGCTCACGGCCAACATCAGTGACGATTATCTGAACCGGTCCCGGGCCTCCCCTAGGTCGACTCAGCCTCAAATGAGTACCTGGTGCGGTGTGTAAACATCGCCACTAGGGAGACAAAGGCGGTCGGGCGTGGTGCTGGCCACCCACCCCCTCGTGTACCGTGCCGGCCTTCATAGGTGCTCGCTAACAGCACTTGCCCCTACAGTCTGTTACATGCTATATGGGGGATCTTTGTCTTTGTGTGTGAGTGTGTGTGAGTGTGTGTGAGTGTGTGTGAGTGTGTGTGAGTGTGTGAGTGTGTGTGTGTGGCGTTTGTGCACAGACTGCCCTATATGACATCATAACAACAGTCTGGACCACTGGACGGGTTCCGCAGGATTGGAAGGATGCCCTGGTGGTCCCCCTTTTTAAGAAGGGGGACCGCACAGACTGTAACAACTACAGGGGCATCTCACTCCTCAGTGTGCCGGGAAAGGTCCTGGCAAGGATTATTCAGCATCGCCTTGCCAGGCACGCTGAGGAGAGGCTTGCGGAGCCCCAATGCGGTTTCAGGAAAGGGCGGTCCTGCACAGATGCCATATTTTCTGTCCGTCTGCTACAGCAGAGGTGTAGGGAATTCCAACAAGACCTACATCTCTGCTTTATTGACCTGGTCAAGGCCTATGATACCATCAGTAGGCCTGGGCTCTGGGTCGTTCTTCGTGCTTTTGGAGTACCTGACCCTCTGCTCACGATCATTAAGGACCTTCATGATGGTGAGCGGGCCCGGGTAAAACTACGTGGCCGGGAGTCAGAGCCATTCCCTGTACACCTTGGGGTGCGACAGGGATGTCCTCTGGCTCCCACATTATTTAACATCTATTTTGACCACGTAGTTCGTGAAGCCTTCAATAGCTGTACCAGGGGAATCTCCATATGGTACAGATATAATGGGAGGCTAATCGATGCCCGGGTGCGGTCAAGGGATGGCTCCCTATTGCTCAACCACGTTATGTATGCTGATGACTTGGTAATAGCTGCTCAGTCAGAGGAGGAGTTGGAGACGCTGCTGCTGAGACTGGAGCATGCCACTAAGAGGTGGGGCCTTACCATCAGCCCCACCAAAACTAAGCACCTGCCTGGGTATTTTGTACCATCGGACACTCCACCCCCACAACTCCCAATCGGTGATGGGGCAGTTGTGGAGAGAGTGGAGAGTTTCCCATACCTGGGCAGTGTGCTTATGACTGGCTCCAGTTTAACAGCAGAGGTCTCACTCCGAATCAGTCGAGCGGCAATATCTTTTCATCGGTTGCGTAACGCTGTGTGGAAGCTACCTGGTCTGTCGCTCCGCACTAAGCTTCAGGTCTTCTCGGCCACGGTCATTCCCTCCCTTCTCTATGCTTGCGAAACGTGGACCCCCCTAATGGAACATCTTCGCCGGTTAGAAACATTTAGGCTGGCCTGCCTACGATCCATCCTGGGTTTAACCAGACTGGATTGTGTGAGGAGCTCACAAATCCTTGAAAGATCTGGGCAGGGTCCCATCGGTGAGCTCCTCCGGCAGGCAAGGCTGCGATGGCTGGGTCATGTAGCCCGCATGCCCAGCCACCGCATGCCGAAACAGCTTTTGTTTGGCCGGATTGAGGGGGCTAAGCGGGCGCGGCACGGGCTAGAGAAGAGATGGAGTGATGTGGTACAGGAGGACGTGGAGCTGAGTGGACTTGCCGATGACTGGTACCAGCGGTGTCAAGATCGGCCTCTGTGGAGGAGGCTCGTGAAGGATGCTACTGGGCAGTTGGAGGCAGTCGCCCTCCAACAACAACGGAGGGCGGAGGAGCGACGCTCACAACAGCGAGCGGAGCGCCGGGTGGCTAAAGCACAGCAGGTTGGCACAGTAGGGGGCACAGGTGGTGCATCAGCCAGTCATCTCAGTCAGTCGACCCGTGGCACCTGGGTCTGCCCCGTGACCTCCTGCCAGCGGGCGTTCGACACTTCACGTGGCCTCAGGGTGCACATAGCCTGGCACAAGCGTCGTGGTGACGTCACCGCCACTTAGTGGCGAATGGCGGTTGTTGTTGTGTGTGTGGGGAGTGTGTGTGTGTGAGTGTGTGTGGGGAGTGTGTGTGAGGGTGTGTGTGAGGGTGTGTGTGAGGGTGTGTGTGAGTGTGTGTGTGGGGAGTGACAGTCTAGCGGCTGGCACGCTGCGCTACGACCCCGACGACCCGAGTTCGATTCCCGCTCACGGCAAACACCAGTGACGATTACCGGTATCTGAACCGATCATGGGCCTCCCCTAGGTCGACTCAGCCTCAAATGGTTCTGAACACCCCCTCGTGTGTCGTGTCGGTACGCTCGCGAACAGCACTTGCCCCAACAGCCTGTTACAGGCTATACGGGGGGATCTTTGGGGTGGGGTATTTTCCGGAGCTCAGCTCCGGACAGCTCCAGACAGAAGTGAAGCCTTGACTCACCCATTCTCTCGCCCTGTTCCTCGTCTGCTCATCTCCCATGGGGACTCAGCTGACAAAGACTCATTCCTCCCCTCGCTGCGGGTTTGGGTTTCTGCCAGACAGTTGGTTCCCGTGCCGCGTGCGGAGAGGAACTGTCAAATTGGCGCTCTCTGCCCCCCACGCTTTACCCCACCACCACATGCCACGCTCAACGATGATAACTGCAGACTGCTCATATCAACACACACACACACACGCGTACCACGTTAGAGAGTAATAATAGAATTGCCCTTTAAACTACGGGGTGGTCCAGATGTTTTGTGACCCACCCCCATTTTATTATCTAAAAACTTATTTTTTAAGGTTTGTTTAAAACAGAAATTAATATGCAAAGGTAAAAAAAAATGTTCGGGGTCAATTAATTAGGGGTCACAAGACATCTGGGCCCTCCTGGGGGTGGGGGCCCACCCACCCACTCACCCACGCCAACTCTCACTGACCAGAATAGTGAAGTATGGTCAATTTCCTCGTCCTCCGTGGAGTGTGAACGGCCTTCTTCCAATAGAGGGCTGACAAAGGGCTGAAATTGTTATTCACGTATTGTTATTCACGCTCGCACTGTAAGCGATATTTAATGACCAGATAGCTGGTCATTAAAATATATATAAACAAAAACTGAAAAATACACATAAAAGTATGAAGCGATGTATCCTTTGGAATTACATTGAGAGTAAGGAAGCGGTAGGTTACACGTGTAGTCGAAAACATACACACGTAACGACGTGATTCAAACCGGGACACGTCAGGGCCAGCAGGGATGATGATGGATAGTGACGATTCATAACGGAGTGGCAGCCAAAGGATGGAACCATTCCGCGAACACGCGGCCGAGTAATGGAGGGATGAAATGAGCTTGCGCGCAGGGTGCTAGGCGGATTATCGGATTGCGGGATCAATTATAAGGGTGGATTGACCGTGGCTGATGAAAACGAATCACGTGATTGCACGAACGGGGGTTTGACAGCACGTGGCACGCTGCGTTTTCCACGGCTCGCGTCGTGAGATTCCTCCCTCCGTCGCGCTCACGCCGACGCTGAAAATGACACGTCGCAGAAGCTAG